TGAGTGTGTTAGTTACTGTGTTAGTTGGGAGCGCCACATCAGCGATCCGTGTGCTTGTTAGAGTTATCCGCCACGTCATCCATCCACTAGGAGTGGGATGGATGGTGGGGATAAGATCTTATCTCGTTGTACTTGTTGATGAGAGCTATATAAGGGAGAGGAGAACTATTCTTGATATCTTTCATCTTCAGAGTTTACGTTTCTATCTTCGAGTGAGCTTCTCTTTAAATCCTATTGTTACAGCTTGAAGGTCATGTCAGCCAACATGGCCGTAGTGTGGCAGAGCCAAATCCTTGAGCGATGGTCGGAACGGCATGGTGAGTTGGTGCTCAAATTTAACCCCTCTGCTCTCGGTTTGGGGTGTGTCGCCCTACCCGAACCGTGTTGAAAGGGTAGAAGGCCGAAGTGAGCCAAGTCAAGTGAACAAACGACAGGCGGCAAGTCGGAGCGGCTACCACCCAGACAAGCGACTAAGCCCTCCAACCGTGGTAGTGAAGCGTATAGGGTCAGTCGGACTAACCGCAATTGACGAGTTAAGCGTGATATGAGGACGAACTACGATCGTTGGTTGGAAGTCGACAGTGACAATCGATTGACGACGCCATTCGACGGCGACAGCCGGTCAACAGTGACGGTAACGGCGGCTGCCGACGGTGACGATAAGGACAACGATGAAGAAATATTTTGTCATAAATATTTCATAATGATATTTTTTCATCGGAACATAGACAAATTGGATATTGTTGGAAAGCTCTACTCGAAACTAAAGCATATGTACCATTTTCAAGAGCTCAAAGATGATCCAAACGAAGAACATTTCTGTGAAAGTTATTTTTCTATCTAGATTCTTGACGGGCTGAGATGACAACGCAACATGTCAAAATTATAGGTTGAAAGTGAACAATGGTTGCGATCAATGTTTGTTGCGAGTGATATAAATTGCGGACGACATAGATCGCGGGCAAGGCAATATCGTAGACGATGTTGGTCACGGCCGACGGAAATCGCGGGTTACAGATATTGCAGTCACGGGCGACGGTGACCTATAGAGGTCGCAAGAGACAATGTTTCAGTTGCGGGCGACGTAGATCGTGGGCAATGGATAGTCGCGAGCGACGTTGATCACAAGCGACGAGATTTGTAAGTGACGGACGATACAGTTGCAGGTGACGGTTGTCACAGACGATTGTCGCGTGTGAAGGATGGAAAAATGTGGACAATGTTTTTGAAAGAGTGCGGACGGTGTTAGTTGCGGGCGACCCTAATTGCAGATGCAGTATGTCGCGGGCGTAGTAAGGCGTGGGCGATGGTGAGTCGCGGACGCAGTAAGGCGTAAGCACGATCGGTCGCAGGTTGACATTTACTCGCGGACGACAGTGATGACTAGTTGCGGGCGCAATTGGTTATGGGTAATTTTGAAAGATAGTCACACATGACAATCAGTTTCGGCTTTAGTCAATCGCCAACAACTGTGATAGTTAGTCACAAGTAACAACTAGTCGTGAGCAACATAGATTGTAAGGTTCATGTCAATGGATGTGTGTCTTTCAATGAGACCTTGTTCATTGATAGAGTGGGAGAATTCTTAGAATCTTTGTATTGACAAGTGAAAATTTTGTTCACGAATATAAGTGTGGAGGAGTTTTGATCATTATGTGATTAATGATCAAGATCTGCATGGTACAAGTTATTTACAGTACCATGAAGCACAACGATATCATATAGTTTATCAGACAAGAGTGTCTGATAAAATGATTGAGTTAGTCAAGATGGATGATAGATTATGGTGATTGAGCTAGTCAATCTTGACGTTAAACTCTGATGATTGAGCTAGTCAAAATTGACGACAGACTCTGGTAATTGAGCTAGTACATCTTGACGATAAACTATAGTAATTGAACTAATCAATCTTGAAGGTAAATTTAATCCAACTAATGCATTGGTCAAAGTTATTTGTATAGAGAGTTTCACGCTACATTGTGTTATCATGTAGGATGTGCATGAAGAGTAAAGTTAGAGTTTGCTAACATAGTATCTTCAGTTATCTCTTTATAAATTTACTCTATCCATTGATGACTACGGCTAAGTTCTAGTTAATTCTCGTGTAAAAAGTAGCCTTGTATAAGGTTTCTTTCTGGAACTTTCCGTGGAGTAATTATATAGATTATGAGATTTATGTTCTCTCTATGCTAGTAGTTTTTTTTTTACTTACATCTTTTTATGTTATTACTCTATCATGTTATGGCTATTGGAGTAGTTCTAGTTAACTCTTGTGTAAAGAGGGTAGATTGTATTAGGTTTATTTCTAGAGCTTTCCGTGGAATAATTATATAGATTACGAGATTTCTGTTCCCTCTAAGCTAGCAAGATTTTTTACTTACCTCTTTTTATGTTACTCCTCTAACCTGTTATGGCTACGGTTTAGTTCTTGTTAACTCTTGTGTAAAGAGGGAGCCTTGTGGTAGGTTTATGTCAAGAACTTCTCGAAGAGTAATGATGTATGTTAATAAGGTTACTGTCTTTCTTAATGTGAGTTAGGGGGAAGATTGTTGAGGTTAACTCCAATTAAGGAGTAACCTCGGGTATTAGCTATTTATATCTAGAACGGTTGTCTAGACGGGGGATAAATACCTCGGCGTTCGCCGTGTACATTGAGTGTATCTGACAAAACCTGTAAGTGAACTGCTGAGAGTTTTGGATATACGTAGCCCTTTGGCTGAGGATGAACACGATATTTATGTGTTCGTGTAATTCTTGAGTTTTATCGTCACATTTTTGTATTTCTTGTGTATGAAGTTCAAGATTGACAAATCATGTATATTGTTGTTGATGTTCTGCTAATTTTTTTCTTTGTGGAATTTTAGGAATATGTGTGCATTTTTACATATATAAAAAATATTATCAGTTGCTATTACTTTTAAAAATATCCAATGCATGCGTTTTGAATTAGATAATAAAGTGAAATCATTGCAACAATAATTAATCATATATGAATAATATGAAATAAATTTTGATTATGTTTATAATTATATAGTATAGTAGTGATTTCAATATGAATTGAGCAGTAAAAGCGTTCACAAAATGTTTGTTATGCATCAATTTATATTTCTTTTTCATTGTGTTTATATTGATAATTCAAAGTATGAAAATTTCTTTTTATTTCACGTTTATAAATTTGATCAAAATCATGATCTTAATTTTAGGACAAATTCTCAAACCTTAAATTTTTATTCTTCATATGATTTTCAAAACAATATTTTATTCTTCATTTTTATGTTTTTTAATTCTTTCAAAGATATTAAAAAAGTATTTCAAAAATTTTATTTCAAAATTTTCACGTTTATTGTTGTTTGTTTCAATATTTTTATTTATATTATTGCTAAAAAAATATTGACAATTTTTACCTGAGCAATGAACAATATCAACTTTTCAACAGAAATTTATTTGTTTTGTACAAATGTAGAAATTTTTGTTCCTTCTAATATATGATTGTACATCAAATTTTTTGCCAAATATATAAACTTACAGTGCAAAAGTTATTTGAGTAATTTTATATTAAAGTAAATGAATCATGCATCTTAAAATCTATAAATTTTGTTTTTATTTCAAAAGTTGATTATATAACCAATGTATAATATTTATATTTGTGATGAGTAAAAATCAAGATCATCTTTACGATACTTACAACATTAAGATTGATGTGTGAAGTAGGATAATGGGCTGATTATTATATATTGTTAAAATACTTGTACCTAGACAAGAAATTCATTAGTCTTAAACATATATGCTTGACTAAAGAATGTTATGACAAGTTGATTTTGATTAACATTTGAGAAAAAATATCAAACATTAAAAACACTAGGAAAAAGGATAATTTATAACTCATATATTTCAAAACAAACAATATGATTTTTTTTAGATACAAACACAATGCATACAACAAGTCAATCAATTTTGTACTTTACACTTATATAACCGAGTAACCTAAACACAATATCAATTTATGAAATATGTTATTGAAAGGTGCATTAAGAATCTTATATAGCATTTGACTAACTAGATTGACTTATCATGATTAAGCTGTTAAGAATTAACAAAGATGTGAATTTACTCCTTACAATAAACATTGCAAAATATTGATGTAGCATAAGTGAATTTTGAAATTTATATTTTATATAAACATATTGTATTGAGAAAAAACACACAAAATTTATTTTTTTGCAATAAATGATCAAGATTTGATAATAATTTTTTATATATTTATATTATTTCTGTTGACATAAAATTTGAATCCTAAAATTCTTTTTATACAATTTGTTTTTTTCTGAACTTGTGTTTTTCATCTATTTTTATTGTCGGAAAGAAGCACTTTCTCTTTGAAAACACAAAAGTAGTTTAGTCACAAATGTATTTGGCAACTTGGCAAGTTAACAATGATTCATTTGTTATTGAGTTAAGTTCAAATGTTTTTATGTGAAGTAAAAATATTAAGAACCAACTCTAGCACTTACATGGAACACACAATATGATCAGAGCAAGTGGCAGTAAGTATGTTGCTGATAATATACAAGAGCTCACAATATTAATAAACAAACAAGCATGTATCCATAGTAAATCAATTGTGTTCACTTGCACAATGTTGTGTGGTTTCATCTACCTTAGAATGAAGAGATTGAGTCGTTGACTTTATACATTTCTTTGATAACAAAAAAAAATTTATCTGTATTTTTCCAAACCAAAATAATCATAATTTTGTCTCTCTTCTTTTGTAATTTTTCAACTTATTACAATAGATGATTATTCTACAAGATAATACCTTTTAATTTCTCACCCCTCAAAATTTTTGCAGCAAAGATTTAATTTCATGTAGTAAACGTATACAATTATGTAATAGGATGGTAATTAAAAAGTTTACTGACATTGAAGAATTTCAACTCGTCTTTGTTGAGGCTATCCTAACAACAACCATCATTATCATCAATCTTAGTGTAACAATCCTAGTGGAACTCGTCCTCAGTTGTACTAAGACAGTTGAATGGTTGAGACTTGCACGGCGAGGCAATCAAGAATGTACAATGATGTTTCTATCAATGTCTTCAGAATCGTCGTCGATCTTCTTCGCCCAAGCAGATACATTGAACTAGAAGTGGTGGAGTTGAGAGACGAATCATTCACATTCATCATCACGTGTAGAGTTTGAGCTTCGTCCAAGGAGATACATTGGACTAGAAGGGGTGGAGTTGAGAGACGAATCATTCACATTCCTCATCACGTGTAGAGTTTGAGCTTCGTCCAAGGAGATACATTGGACTAGAAGGGGTGGAGTTGAGAGACGAATCATTCACATTCCTCATCACGTGTAGAGTTTGAGCTTCGTCCAAGGATGTCACGTACCATACCATGGAAATTGAAGATGGTTACAAGAGAAGACTGGGAGCAGAAATTGGCTGCAGCGGACGTGAGGAAGGAAGATATGAACAAACTAATCATGGATTTCTTTCTCACTCAAGGTTACATCGGAGCAGCTAAGCAATTTCAGATCGAGTCTGGGACGGAGCCAAACATGAGCTTTGAGGATGTGAGAAAGAGGATGGAAATTCGGAATGCGGTGTGGAGAGGGGATGTGGAGGAAGGAATCATGAAAGCAAATGAGCTGAACCCGGATATTTTGGATAGCAATCCTCAATTGTCTTTCGACTTGCAGCAGCAACATGTGATCGAGCTTATCCGTGAAAGCAGAGTGATGGAAGCACTGGAATGTGCTCAAGAGAATCTCGCGCCCTACTGCATAGAACCGGATGATACTTTCTTCCGAGAGTTGGAGCGGACGGTGGTTTTGTTGGCCTTCAAAGATCCAGCTTCTTGTCCGGTCGGAGAGTTGATGGATATTAAGAAACGGGAGCAAGCAGCCATGGAGATCGACCATGCTATTCTCATGAGCCAGGGTCACGAACGGGATCCTAAGCTACATTTCCTTTTGAAACTACTGGTATGGGCGCAAACCAAACTGGGCGAGAAAGCTTCCTATCCCCGTATCGATCACATTTCTAAAGCACTGTATGAACATGAAGATTGTTCGCGACGTTGAAAGTTGTGGTTGCATGTTCTAGCTACAACTTTGATGAGATATCTATCTTTGTGGGGATTTATTAACAGTTCTATCATCTTCAAGGAACATAGTAAGGCAACCGTGGGACTATGTGTAGGTCCCCTTCTCTAATAAGGTTCTTATCATCTCGATATACCACTTATATATTTGATAGACATATGTATATTTCTAATATCACAAGTTTTCTGTTTCCAAAAAATAAGACTACCATTATCTTGAACTCTCTTAAATCGTTTCTGCTTTGAAAATTTTACATCTAATGGGTTGTTTTGCTGTTCACCAGCTTGCTAAGTTTCGTTAAAACATTGAGTTGGATGTAGGATTCGATATTTTAAATTGAGTATTTTGTGAATCTTTCAGTCGTCTATCAAATGATATTGTTTTCAAGGATATGTAAAAACTTTGTGGTGCACTATGGGATGCGCTCAATACCTGCGTCATGCTTCTGACTTATTACTCCCATTTGTAGTGTGAATTGTTGAGAGAAAGCACCCTAAACAAGATATTTGGGTAAGAAGCATCATGCAGTCAAGGGCACTTGTGATTTGGAAATTCACAAGTCTTCATGGTGACGTTTTTAAAATCTGGGATATAGAAGAGTACATTGTACATGCACATAGTTTCAAGACTTGCAAAAAAATTATTCCTGATACCCCTTGATTTCATCGTATAGAGTTTCACCTCCGAAGCATATGTGGAAGGTGTCTGGTAGATTATTTTCCTCCCTATAAATTCTCTTTTCCGTTTGAGTCAGTAAAGAAGCATGATTGGTGACATACTCCTTTGTCCTTACAGCATTTGCCTTTTACTTACACCTTCTGATACACTTTGTAATGCTTTACAAATAGTAATAACCACTCATAATGTTGAGATTTGCTTAAGATTGATCTCGACTAAGAACCTAAGATTACCGAGCCTGTTTGAGAAATTAATGTCTACATGATTCTGCAATTCTTTGGAAGGTAGAAAGGGGTTTATAATGTCAGAAGTCTCGTTAATACAGAGCTATTGAAATGGTTCAAACTAACGTCTAAAGATGGTGCGAGAACCCTGTCAATTCGTTTAATCAATCCTTGCAGCTTACTGCAGGGCACATCATTCCGTCCTATTTTCATACTCTGTCTTATCGAAAGAAACATAATAGGATCTTCTATATGAGTAGAATATTCACGCGATGCCCTTTGATGTCACTCTCATCAATTAACTCGAAACTCGAAAACCCAGGTTTGTTGACCTTTCTGTTCCTGAATAAGAGTTTGTTGAGTTATCCGCTTTGAAATGAGTAAAGATGATTGCATGGACGGATGTGGAATGCTGGGATGCGAGTACTCGGGTATGTATGTGGGCCCGTAGAGGGTGGTATAGCTCCTTGATAAACGGATGAATATACGAATATAAACGATGACTGGAGTTCACTGTGCGATTGATTTATGTATATTCTAGGGTTGTGTCTTGTCTGTGCTTTCACCTTGTTTGATTCTATGTCCCGGTTGATGAATACTAAGAGAATTTGATACTAATCACAATTCTGAATCTGATATGTTTATTTTTGTACATGTTATCCCGCTCAAGTGGATGACAAGGTGAGTACTTTAGTGTGTTACTTCAACGCTAAGCCATTTGATTTGTTGAGGTTGATTCCCAAGGTGACAGTGTAATAATGTAGGTTTGCTGAGGACGTTTCTCCTATGAAACGTCAGTCATCTAATCAAATCTGTAGGTGGTTTAACGCAGTTGCTGTGTCTGTCACCAAGTAGTGTTGACCTAAAGATAAAAAGTTGCTTAGTGTACAATCTGTGACTTTAAGTGTTTGACATGTACGAATAAAACGCCTTTCGTTTTCGTAATCATCGGCTTAATTTCGAAAATCCGCCGAACCTTGTAACAGCAATATCTTTGCCACAAAGTACCATTCACATTGCATGTATTATTGCTGCTTACTAGGGCTTTTTTAATGCGCGAACATGCACAACTGATGTCATAATTTGTAAGGCTTTGCATTCGTTACTGCCGCTCACTGGGGTTTTTTAATGAACGATAATGCAAAACTTTTCACAAATCCGAATACTTACCTCAGCTGATGTAAAATGCACTACCACTTGGTTTTAGCGAAGTATCTCCGCAGATGACACTTCTCGAATCGTAGATATGTTTACTTCGTTAGTCCTACTATGTGTTTACATCTAAATCTTTACAAATTAAGGATAAATTTTAGTAAGTTTTTATGCAAAGATAATCTTCACATACAAACCTACATACACTGTATATTAGTGACACACCATCGAATCTTACAAACGGGTGATGTATTTATATGTGATCTAATAAGGGTGAAACTTATCAAGATCGAGTATTTCCCTAATGTAAGATAAATAACATACATTATCATTTTTTCATAAAATAAGATACATATTATTGAGCAAAAAAATTCGATGGACACATTTTGGCATCATTAATCTTATTTGGTGGATACAAAAAGGCATTTCAGGAAGTAACACCAAAATATAAAGTCAACATCCATGCAAGATTACTTAAGATTGTAAGTTTTAAGTTTTAAGTTTTGAATTTCATTTTGAAAAGTATCATGGAAAAAATATTATTTGTTAGGAAATCTTAAGTCAAGTGCAGGTTGTTAGGTATCATCTCCTGGGGCACTTATAGTATTTTTAGAATGGGTGGTGAGGAATTAGGCCGGCAAGCAGACTCACCGGATTGAACATTATCAGTAAAACTTTAGTGTTCTCGTGGAAGTATCCTACATATGAACAACAGTTTTTTCTTGTGTGAATTCACTCCTGTTTTATCAATCGGAACACAGCTGAATTTGATGGTTTGAGCTTGTGGGCTGAGCTATAGACTTTAGATCTCATCGGTGAGTGTTCATTGGATCCGTAGAGTCGTGACATGACGATGGTTGAGAAGTGCAATCGTACTTGGACTAGCTAGTGCTGCAATCAAAGAGTGGATTGAAGTCGAATGAGAAGTTTAACTTCGTTTCAGGGCATGTCGAAAACATGCCATTCAGACTTTTGTTAGACACATCCAGCTCCACGGGAGATGGAACAATAAGTAAGGAATTAGTGAATTCTCCACTGTTATGAGTTTTGTCAAGCACTGAGGTCTAGAACATGTCCAACAATTGATTGTTATTCAGAAGCAATGATGTCAGTTGACTTAAGTCATCTAGTTAGTTTTAGTTTAAAGAGAAGACATTGTTAGGTTTACTTCTCGGATTTACCTCAGAGTAATTATATAGATCAAGGAGGTTATTGTCCACTAGTCATATGTTTACAGGGAGATTGTTAGGGTTCAGTTAACCGATAGGTTTCAAAAGATCGGCTGATAAAGTTCAAGGTTTGCTAGCTGGCTCGCCGCTTTGAACATTATCTGTAAAATTTTAGTGTTACCGTGTACGTAGTTTACAAGCAAAGAACGTTACCTTTCCGTGTTTTTCTCATGTGAATTCTCTCCTATATTTCATCACAACTCAGAGAAGTAAGAGAAATCGTTTAGGCGCGAATTCTTTATATGCAACAAAATAATGAAAACCCTTCAATATCATTGATATGAACATCATCATATTCTATTCACAACACTCACATCTAAAATAACTTGATGATTATGATAACTTGCAAGAAAACAATTATGAATTTATACTAGATTTTGTGTGATTCGATTAAATTTTGCAATGCAAGTTTCATTTTAAATATAAATCCACCATACTTAGACATATACAGAAACTTTTGTTTATGTGTAGTTGTTTGTTCCAATGTGCACCCATTTGAGATTGTGAGAGATTTTAACATGAAGTACTCTTGATTATATACATCAATATCAAGAAAGTAAAGTGTGATAAGTGATAAGTATAAAATATAAATGGTATGAATTTTAGTGGCTGGAACTACGTTTATTAAGGTAAGACTAGAGACACAAACAAAATCAACATGATGAGACAACGGAAGTAATGGATTAGGGCATGGCAACCTTTATGAAACATCTTGAATGTTTTTAGAGATTCACATGTTTCGAACAATTATGTGAAATCCAAATTCTATGCTCCAAGAAGGCCAAAAATCTGAGGAAATTCCAAAATTTTCTTAAGCTTTTAAATGCATCTCGACATTCGTAACTTGATAACATGATTAGAGACTATTGGGCAAAATAGTCTGGGAACAAATGCAAAGTCAAACAAGGCTAGCAAGAGGAGTATTATAATAGGTTAAGTTGATTGTAAACATTACTATCATCTCACAAACTAATAAGAAGAGGGCTTGAATATATTCAAGATGACATTGTTGCGCACCGAATTTGTTCAAAAGATTAGATACACCCTCAATCACTTGTTCAACTTGTTTAAACAACATATGTCAGCATTCACAAAATTACTAGAAAGAACAAAGTGGTAAACCACAAGTTGGTTTTGAGTTTGTGTGTTATAAATTGAGGTGAAATGTTAACGCAAAATGTGCAACTCATGTTTGGGAAGCAATAGATCAAGTATAAATGACATCCTTCTTGTTGAATAAGTATGACCGTTTTACATGGCTGCACCGGAAAACTGGAAACAAAATCAAGTAACTTTGGATATTAATTCACAGAATCTTTACTTTTAATTACAATTAGTGTCTCGTATACAGAACAAAGTATGAATTCAAAAAGATTCCTTTGTGACTTGAAAATTGAACTCTTTTGCATCTTGAAAAGGATTTGACATTGTAGTCCATCCATGGAGGTTTAAAGATTCAAGGAAATAATCTAGTCCAGAATCCGAAGTAGAATACACTCTCGTTGTGAAAAGAGTATGTTGGACAAGTAGCTCTGGGTTTTAGATGCTTTGAGCATCACTAAAGTAACTGTGAACAAAGTAACTTCGACAAAACAAACCAGGCGAAATTTTTGAGCAAGATGAAGACTATCAGAAACAGAATCATGTCATTGCAACAAACATATAACTATTGCAACAGATCAAGAAAGTTGTCATTTACGTCTTTATAGAACTACATGAGGTTAACCCACAATACTCAAAGGAGTTTGATAGGACTCTTAAAAGGAGTGTATTGAGAGTGCCGCAGCTACCGATCAGTTGGCATAGAACTACTTAGATCTATTCGAATTCATTTTCGGAGTGGTCACTAATACTTTTCGACAGTAATTTCAGAAGTCTCCTCAAGTTAGAGAGCTGAAAAATAAACTCTCATGAACAATAACGTTTTGATAAGAGAGGTCTATTCATGAGTGATTCATCATTGTAGATGATGGTATATTGATTGTATGAGTGTATATGGTATACAATTATACTGAAGTCTAAATAGAGTGATAAAAGAGATAGTTGGACAAAACAAAGTTGACATTGCAAGACTTGATGAATGTTTATATAGACATCAAAGAACTCAAAAGATTAATTTATCAAAAACAAGTGGACATTGTGAAGATAAAATTAGTCTAAAGCTAATGATATGTGCCAATATACAACAAAAATATTGTGATTTACCAAAAAAATGATTTCTTCTCAACACACGTCATAGTGTATATGCTGCCATTCGTTTCCAAAACGACATGCAACTATATAATCAGAACTTCAAGCCTGATTATATACGCTGTACAGTGTAGAAACTTACATAACTCTTAGCGTAATCAATTCATAGTCATTTACCAGCCAGCTTGTTTGTAAATAGATAAGCACCAAGAGATATGCAAATGCAGTTGAAGCTATGAAGAGTAATCGCTTGTTTAAACGTACCAAATCTAGAAATTTGCTACCTATGAACAAGCAATTGTGACGTATTATCGTAAAAAGGTAACACTGAAAACTTACACTGAAATACGAATGAAGTAAGTTAGACTTCACATACATGCGGCCAAGTACAGACTCAATACATGCCTTACAGGCTGTGACTCTTCATCTTGAGTCGCAGCTCAACATCAACTGCGGATAACACGTTGCTGAGAAGTAATGTCAAATAAAACCCACGAGCAATTGCAGAAATCCAAGTCCACAATTATCAGCAGAAACCTCCGTGCAGGAAGCTTAAACTAGAAATTCCAATAGAAGTTAAATACACGACCAGCAACAATCATATATCGTGCAAGAATGAGGGCGATGAGCTATACACCAAGAAGCTGAGCTAGGGTATAGACACTTGAAAATAAACTATCACACTTGTTATCTCCCATCGTTCCATGGGTCGCATCTTTCTTTTCTTCACAAGTCTAGATAAAATCTCATTCACAAGTTCAAAGTATCCTACTTAAAACATCAACAGATAAACTCTAAAACCTGAGCATTCGTGCTAAAACGACGTTCATGACCCAAAAAAGAGCCTGATGGCTGCTTATCATTGTGAACTTCGGATACTTATCTAAACACCTCGGAATCTAATTCAAATGATCATTTTGATTATCTGATAACTTCTCCATGACCATAAGTTACATGGCGTGGCCGGTTGAGGTGATAACAATGCTTCAGGAAGAACATTGCAACTGCTCCGTGATGGAAAAGATGCATTCAATATCCACCTCTATCTGGGAAGAGTTCTCAATTGGTTCAGAAATGGAGCAAGATATGACGCACTAACATCCCCAAAATAAGACTCACTTGAAAGACTTAATCCCGTGTAAACCCAGCGAGTCGAGTTTTCAATACATATAATTTTCACCGTGAGGATCTGATAATCTCCAGCCGAATGAGTCAGAACCTCCTGTCATAGATCATTGTTTAATCCGAACGACAAGAGAAACTTACAGAGGTAGCCCTAACATCATATATACAGACTTGAAAGCTAGATTTCCATATTTCCTCAGTGGTGAACCTTAAAATATTTCGGCGAAAATTATGTACTATTTGAGTCTGCTACAAACTGCAAACCTTGCCGTTAATAAAACACGGGAGCTCAGTTGTTGGCGACAGTAGCCTGTCCACAGGAAACTTCGAAGTTTCAAATAGCCCAAGCTGCAATCATCCACAATGGACAAACTTGAAAGGTAGGCCCAGGCATCAGGCATCAACTTGAAAACCTATACACTCAATTGGGTGGTACAAAATCTCACAGAACAAAACTTGGCTGAGCTCTCTCCAGACAGGTACTATCCTTCAAAAGATGGGCAGGGCTGATTGGGCATCTAAAGCTATCTAAGACGTGTTCATTGACATATTCCTCTGGACTTAAAAATGCTCCGCCAAATCTCAGGCTCAGGATTTACTTGCAATTAGAACTCTCAGCTCTTCAAGCAGTTCGCGGAGCGCCCGTAGAGCAACCGCCCCATCAAGCCTAAGTGCAAGTAAACTCAGAGATCTATTGATGTCCATGCCAGGAGGACAGACGAAACCAGTGAAGTTTCATCGCCCTGTATGGGACGAGTCACACCAGACCAGGCAAAGTGGATACACAAGAGATCGATCTCCTTTAGTAAACCGGATTCGATTATCCATACAGCAATTTACTTAACACCATGAAACTTCTTGCCGGCTGCAACAGCTTCCCTGTAAAATCACACCCAACAAACCACACGAGCCTCAGAAATCGTTCTTACAGAAGATCCCCATTTCACATCCAGACCGTCTTGAAGAAAATATCTGCTTGTTCTTGTGTATGTCATCACAATTCTATTATCTGAAAGGGCAAACAGTGACAGGAGGATATATTGATACTGAACAAGTAACTACAAATTCAATGAGATTATAAACCTATAAGTGAACTAAAAACTGAAACTGTATGTGACTTTTAATGGTGCACACTTAGATTCAAGAGGCTATATTAGATAAGACTTATGACCAACTGCAGGAGCTAAAGCAAACTGATAATATCCTGCTAATCCAAATAAGTGACTTCACATTGGGATGAGTTTCATAACTGGAAAGCTTCAATGACATCTTTCGAATCTGGGTTGACTTTCACTCCGCAGTAGAAAGCGTCAGCTGCCTCATCGAAGCGCTGCAAGGTGCAAAACCTAATGACCGTCAAAAAATTTCGTAATAACACAAACCATAGCACTATTACTAGAACCGGTTGTACTGTCTGCCCATTGCTTACCACTTCGGACACAAAATGAATATGGCATGGACTCATAAGACATGTCAAATGACTTTCATGCAACTACTTTGACAAACTGATGTATTGTACAAACTACGTGATGTGTCATACAACACGAATCTTATCAATATACTCTTACCTGTAACTGTCTCAATGCTGCACCTTCACGATAGTAAGCCTTGACCCAGTTTGGGGCGAGTTTACGGCAAGCTTGTGCATCAGTAAGAGCCTGTTCAGCTTGTCCTATTTTGAGCCAGCATAAACTTCGGTTGGAGAGTACTTGAAAATTGCTGGGATCAAGATCCAGTGCCTGTAAAAATATTGGAAAATGAGAGGCATCCCGACAGTAGGGAATTTACTACCTAACCATCACTGCCAAAAAATAATCATGATCAAACGTAAGTTGGATTAAAGTTCACAAGTTCGTCTAGACCAGCCTGAAGATATCAATATTAACTGTAATTCGTTAAGCGGGAACGCTTTTGCAAGAGATTTTACCTGTGTGTACGCATCAATTGCAGCGGTGTAGTTTTGCGTTTGGAAAAATTCAGTACCTCTTGCTTTTGCTTCAAGAGCCTTCTCCTTCTTCTCTGGGGGTACCTGCATTCATTGACAAAAACGTCCAATAAACCTAATGATTTCAAACCCTTCAACAAAGTACCAACATCTGCGTCACGGTTTAAAACAGTAAAAATATCTAGAAAAACAATGCCAGACCAAACTTGGTGACGAGAGCCAGGAGAGAGCAATATATAACCTCCATAAGCACGGGCGCCTCTTCAATCTTCGCCTTTTGTTTGTCATGATCTTCTCTATCGCGTTTTTCAGCAGCCTGCGCTTGGGGGAAAACTGCGTTACTACGGGAGATTTTATCAACCTCCAGTTTTCTAGAATCAACTCGTAATTTATTACAGTAGCATCAGAATTAATAGGCCTGGATCCATATTTTGCAGGAAAAAACCTTTTCCATCATCAGAGTTTTCCATTTTCAGGAATTTTCCATCATCAGAGTCCGATTGAGATTCTTGCCTACACAACTATCCTAGCAATAATTTCATGAAAAATAAGAAAACAAAGAAAGGTCTTCCTCATTAAAATGGTAAAATAGTAAAGTGTGATAATATCACTCTGTTGGTAACGTTAAGTCATTCTAATGACTGTGACAAAGTGTTTTTGGCTTTAGCCAGTCTCGTTGTTTTTCAAATTTTACCTTATCTTGGTTCAGAAAGTATAAGAAATGGCTCCAAACATCGAAGTAGCTTTTTCTGGATGCAAAGACCGACTCTCCGACCTGACGGTATTAAAGTGAGAAAACTCATACCTCCACTTCGGCAGCCAGTTGCTTTGCATGTTCAAACAAACCATCGACACTCCAGTCTTCTACAGCTTGCAGCACAGCAGTCACTGGCAGCAAGATCTTAACGATTGGCCGATGTCCGCTGATCGCAGCTACTTGAATGGGCGTCATCTCCGCCTGTACATATACAACGGGTACTGCACTCTTTAATCTTTTGCATTCGAGACAAGGAAATGGGAGAACTGCATGTTCATACATAGATAGTGCTAGGAAATCGCAGCTTGAACAGTTATCTCAATATCCAACATGGCTTTCCATGTGTGATGTACGAAGTCTCGTGTGTGGTGATACATGGCAAGCATTTCTGAAGTTCTTCACGTTAGTTTATATACACGAAACACTCAGGAAGTGGAAGAGGACGAGGGCTACAAGTATTCAACATCTCACGCACTCTACCAAAGGCGGCCTAATGATAACTATTTTCTCAAAAAGACAAATCGATGCTCTATATAGACGTCAGTCCAAGTTTAGGTACTCATGCTGTTTTCTTGCCACACCAAGTTATACATTTACTACTAGCAACGATATGAAGTTCTCCCACAACAGTAGGCAACTTAACAGAAAGATTTTATAGGTAGATCTTCATGCAAATTGGTACGTCGTAAAACACAGAAGGTTCTCTCTTGTACACAATTTACTGCCTCCCGGTGCTTAAAGTTTGCAGGAGACGTGACCACTCACTTCATCAGTAACATTTGGATTGGCTCCCGCCGCGAGTAAATGTTTAATCGTCTGTTTGTTACCCTGCTCTGCAGCAATATGAAGAGGTGTCACTCCTCCTGCAACAATGTTTGCTTCTGCTCCATTCTGCGAAACCACCAGCCAGCCGGATTCAGCTCGACCAATAGTGTAGGCTACAAAACCTGCCCATTTCATTCCTTTATCAAACTATGTTGGAAATATCAGCATAACACGATTCGACTCCTGGAAAAAGCTTTAAATGTGCTTATTTCTGATGCTCTCGGATAAGAAGCAACAAACTGGAGGTCGTTGCTTTCTAATGTTTTAGCAAGGATCCTATGCAGCAGCAGACTCGTGCAGCACAGGACCCAAAGGAGGGAACGGCTTGCTCGTGATACGTAGGCTTTCTAGCTCCGACCAATTTTACATTCACTCATCCTTGAATGGTCTTCAGCCAGCAAATCGTCTAGATGATGTAACCCTGACAGCATTTGCATTTACCTTTATAAGGAGTTCCACAATTTCTGGCTGCTGTGCCGCTACAGCTGTTAAAAGTGGTGTGGCGCCATCCTCGGTAGAAGAATTTGCCTGCTCAATATTCAAACCCAAATTATTCAAACCCAAATTCAGTGTCAATTGAAGTCTAAGTAATGAATGAATGGGCAAGAGTTTGAGGAATGAGTAAGTTACATCTGCATGACGTTCAAGTAAAAGCTTCACAGCTTCCAAACGCCCATGTCCTGCTGCCCATATCAAAGGGGTACCGGAACTGCTTGCAGCATCCACAGCCACTCCTTTTTCGAGCAGAAGTTTCATAAGCTCCAGAGATCCTGAGTACACAGATGAAATGCTCTGATTAGAATATGTGTTGATGCTCCACGAACTCTACAGATCCTGATGTTCTGACTATGTTGTACAAAGGCCTTCAATAGTTTCAAAGCTTCCCAGAAGTGAAGGAGAGAAACCCGGAGATGTAAAAGAATATATTACCTGTTCCTGCGGCATGGTGCAGCGCAGAAGTTCCGAGCTCTTGGGCGGATGCGTGGGCATTAGCTCCATGATCCAAGAGATATTTCGCTGTTGTATATAAGCCTGCTCGTGCCGCAAAAATGAGTGGAGTCTCTCCTGCATCCAAAAGAGAAGTTCAGATGAACAATATTTCGAGCACAAAAACAAACAAATCGGCGATCCACGGCGATCCAAATTATTCATAACCTCCTAGCAGGGTTTTCACCCACTATTTCGCTCATCGAATGCAGACAACCCTCAGATGCCTTAAAACATACAGCAATATCCGGAAACTCATTCCTCCACCATTAGATACAATATTGACTAGACTTCTCTGTCGGACAAAGTTTGTTGTCCATGTGCTCCAAGAAACTTACCCTCGTCATCAAGTGGGTCGACAGGAAGGTGCAGTTCCTCAACCAAGTACTGGCAAATGTTCTCATGTCCACCTCGGGCAGCAAAATGTAGGGCTCCACGACCATTTCCGTCCTTAACGTCTCCAACAGCTTCCGATAGCTCCTCTCCATCTGCGATGAGTGTCGCCGCGACTGCAGATTTCACGGAACATACCCGTTAGGTCATTCCTTCCAACCACAGATGTCGATGCATTCCAAACAAATCACAAAGAAGACGGCACATCAACTAATGCCAAAATTCAGGAACGACCAGAATGTCTTAGTCCAGGTAGCTATCCTGCAACAGCTTCGAAAGAGGCATCAGCGCAATAAGCTGACCTTAATCGAACAAAAACCACAGAGTAAGTTAACAACGTTTTGTAAACCAGAACTGACGACAAACATATAATAAACCTTGTGCAACATACTTTAATCAAATGCAATCATGTATATAAGCTACTTCCGGGAAGCATCCCAAACCACTAAAACTCATCTACGGCGTTTGCAAAACTTCCCAACGGTTTTGACAGAAGTGACCATACCCTTGAAACCAGCTAGGTCTCCATCACGAGCTGCCTTCAGCAGTTTTTCAACCTTCTGACGAGCTGCACACGTGAAAAATCAAATCATCAAAAATGTCGAGGATGATACTGACAGTGAGATGCAACTATTTAAAAACCTTTTCATTCACCGACACTGTAAATCATGTGTGAGGATGGAATAACTAGAAGTTGGTGCGTGGCGACGGATCTATAACTTAACTGCTTGTTTTACTCCATATGTAAGAGCTCAGAACAAAGGGGCAGATCCATATCCATTGACCAACATAATTCTCCGGATAAAGAACAATTTCTCTCCAACCGGAGATCAAAATAGACGAATACTCTGACGGCCAGTAAAGTACAACCTAGACGTAATCAGCAGGATAAACCACATAATTGTGGCTGAATAAAACTTGATGGAAGTCGAGAGGGTGCAAACATCAGAATATCCTGAGAAATTACACTCGAAGAAGCAACCAACAGACTTGTCGGTTACTACATCTACTGCTGCTGAGACATGGGATGTTGAAGAAACCCCAAATTTTCTGATATTGTCATCAGAAACAACGTTCACCGAACTATAACTTTCACCACCCGAAAGAGCACCCGGGCCTAGCTCTTCAAATTACGGCTAAGAATGCATTGTTGATCAAGAAGCTGCATCGTAAGGACCACAAACTCTAACGCTTGAAGCCCACAACCCTAAGCTACTGAGAACAACACTTCGTCTTTCTGAGAGAAATTCGTTACCTCAATAACGATCAGGACTTTATTATCGCGTCAAGAGCAGAAAAAGAATATCCTGATCCATGAACATGTATCACTGTCCTGCTTCTAAGCAGCCCCTGGTATACTGGTGGAAACTGGTACTGCAGGTTACAAATGAAAAACACGGGTTCCGATATTTTTGAAAAACCCACATATCTTCGTGTTTATCTCTGTTGACCTCCAAACTTCACAACGTTGTCTGAGTAGATTGTAACAAACAATATTTCTGGGTTGAATCTACACCATATTGTGTGAAGCGACGTACAGAGTTGTGGAAAACATGGGAACTAGAAGGGAAGCTCGGCAGCGAGCTCAGGGGTTTATGGACCCGTATGCGACAACAAGCACCATCCTCGAACCCAAAAATATAATCGATCTTCCTCACTTCCAGGACCCATCTCGCAGCTGACTTGCGACACTGACGAGACAGACTACCCGTGTGCCACTAGCTTCGCCTCAAATGAATCCACATTACCTCAAATTATCATCAAACAAGAATCGTTCAATTCCGACGAAGTCACCAACTCCTTTGCATTCAAACAAATGAGAGGAGACGCACAAGCGGGGAACGATAGTCACTCCTCCAAAACCCAACGAGGGATCTAACCTGAAAGAGCACCAGAGGCATCCTGCTGTTTCGAAGTACCCATGAACCTCAACGAAAGAAAACTCTGCCGCGTGTCCTCTCCGGCCGCGCTCCCGTCAAGCAGTTCAGCTCTAGCGCGCTGCTGCTACACGAAGCCCTATCTACGATCGGGGAAAAACTAAAAAATAAACTCGCCGGCGACGCTTCTCAAGCAGCCAACACCATGAGATCTTATTTTCTTCTCTGCCTCGCGTGGGATTCGATTGCTCGGCCTGGCGAGGTGCCAAACTCTTGCTTGTATAGGAATCGCTGGGGTTGGGGTCAAAGACGTCAATGCTGATTGACTAGACACAAAACACACACACGCGCCGTCGCAGCGGCAGATTACCACGATCGAACGAACGCATCGGCCGGGGAACCCGAATCTGAATTTTCCATTTAAAGGAGGCTCGAGCAGCCGAGCGACGGAGCGCAGCCTCTCCTTCTTCCTGGGCTCGATGGATGGGCCGCCCCGATGCCTCGCTCAGCGCCTGACAAACCCTCCTAAATGTTACGTCGCAACGTGTGGCGCGTAGGAGCTGTCTGCAACGGAAGGGCCGTTACCCCTGTATATGTTATTCGGTCCAGAGGCCCGCCCACTGACTGCTGGGCAATGCTCCGAGAACCTGACGCCATCCCCCGTCGTCGTGTCCCTTGCGAGGTTGTCCCAGAAGGAGATTCCAGTGACTCGATTCGGCTGTACCGCGTACAAGATTCCATCGACCGCTGGAACCTTGAGATCTGTTAAAGGCGTCGTGAATTGTGCTTCCGGCCTCTTTTCTTGGCGACCTCTTCAACGAGCTCCGCACTGTGACCGCCTGGAATCTGTCTGAGAATCTTCAGACTCTGAGGCCCAGTTCGTTGCTATTCCATTGGGCCTAAACGAGTATAGAGTCCTTCAAACTCCGTATTCCGTGTGGTGGCGAAGTGAAGGAGTACTTCCAAAGGGGCCCCCATTTTCAACGCCTGACACGTGTCGTTATTACCATGTTTTGCGCACTGACCCCGGGGCTTGCGACGTCGTTATGGAAAATAACGATGTTCATTGTCGTGGTAAAAAGGGGAGGTAGTTGAAACGAACGTCGTTTTCATGGCTGGAGACGAAACGATGTGACTAATGTACTAGAAATCTGCTCCTTCAGCTTTCAAATTGACCTCGTCCTTCTATATATGTACCGTAACCTGCACATGAACACAAAGAGACGTATTCACAAAACTTATAACTTGGTGTCGTACACAATTTCTGTAATGAATGGGATATGCACTAAATTAGCCATGGGCTTTTTTCGTACAGCATCACAAATAATTATGATTACATGTTCATCATTGATGAATTTTCTACGAGAAGAACTAAATTATAGCCCGTGCAGAAAGTTAATGAACTTTCTCCGACAAAATTTCGAAAAATATATGTATTCGTGTATATTTGCAACATGATCGTGTTTGTTTCAAAAATGAAAATAAAAGAATGCTCATCGAGTATAAAAACTTGAACAAGTTTATTATGATTTGGAAATAACAACATTCCTAACATACTTGTTGAAAATATTTGAATTTTTATGAAATCATTAAATAAGATACAGTGTTACAAAATGTTAAATGATATATCGTGATTACAATCAAAACGTAAATGTAATTAAGATAACATCAAAATTTCTTATATAATTCATATGAAATATGAATTATAATAAGAATTTGAAACTTAAAAAAGAATATATTTTCAATTTTAATATCAATAAACTTATGCGTTTTTTTATCTTTGATTTATCAATATTTTTTTTCATACCAAGTGATTTTTTACTTTCATGTTCTTTAATAAAATTTTTAATATCACATCATTTACTAAACTGAAAACTATTTTAAAATTAAAAATAAAATATTTCACTCATAAAAAATTTAAAAATTTATCCCTTCCAATCCAAAGTAGCTATATATCAAAAATTAAATTTCAAGAGATTATTATATAAAAAATAATTTGATATTTTTTCATGTATAATACAAATTAAATGTTTTAAGATATATTTTCAAATCCTATTGATTTATATTCGAAATTCCATTAAATCAATATTATTTTCGAGTAAAAAAATAATATTTTAAAATTTAAACTAGATTCAAAAATATCAATCTTAGAATTGTATATTTTTTTAGAAAAAATGTGCCAACAAGTATAAAATGTTAGCTTTTATTTAAATTGAACATTGATCAATGTAGTTTGACCACGAAAATTAATTCATGAAATTGTAGCGTAGCACAAGTAGCTTACAAAGATCCATCACATATAAATTTACCCAATGGGATCCCATCCACTGCCCATCAAAATCAAAACAAAGTATTTGTAACTATATGCTACGGACTATATTGTGGAGGAGTGAACTAATCTTGTCGTACTATAGTTGACGGTTATAATGTGGAGGGATAAATCACTTGGAAGTTCCAACTTGGTTTCAAGTTTTGCCAACATAATATCAATTTTCATCATATATAAGCAATGCAAGTATTAGTGTATTAGAAAGTACTTCTATGCACTGATTATGCTAAAAATTGGCCTGAAATTTCTTGAAATTTTTTTGAAGAAATTATCAAACACAAGTTTGATAATGTGAAATGAATGTTTGTTTTGATCTATTATATGACAACTACCTAAGTTTTTCCAGTTTTCATGTTGAACATACTTTTGATCTAACAAACATTCAATGACTTTTTCAAACACCTACGACATATTTCAAATATCAACCAAAAGAATGAATATGATCTATGAATCAATTCTCAATAATAATTGAAAAAAAAGCTTTCAATTTGTTCATGTTTGAAACATGAGTTTGCTTGGCATATTTTATAATCCAGCAAATTTATTCGTGACACTAACTTGTGCACATGATTTGAGCAACTATTGCAATCTTTATTTGCGCTACACAAAAATGTTACAACTATTCGTTTTCCTCCTCCTAGTTCATACTACTATAGTAGTAGGAACTAGGAAGAGGTCTCCTAGTAGTGTAACCTCCTACAAATGACATACTCCCATTAGTGACATGAAAGTGTGGAACCATTAATTTCTAACGTATAAATCTATCCAATAAAAACCGTACGTCATTACTGGCAATAATGACATGAGACGGTTCAATAGTGACATCGTTAAGCTTTAATGATTATCATAACTACCTAAAGTATCCGTTCACACCTGGCGGATTTAGAATCATGCTTTTTTCTATGCTTCCCGTGAGGTTAAATCATGATTTCAATTATAGTGAGAAGATTGAATGCGTCAACTGTGAACTGGTATCGTTATTATCTGCTACTTTTCCTTGACAGACATTAAACTTATGTTCAACAAGATACGTCCAAAAAATTCGTGGATGATCTTATTATGCTCGGAGCATAAGTTAAAGAAGGGTGCTCTGAATTACGCGATGAAGCATATCATAGAGAAGTTGATATCATTTTGCACATCATACAAAAAGCTATTCCGGAATGACGTTAGTGCTCGGTGTGATCCATACACTTTGCGTGAAGATAGTGTTATTTGAGGTAAAAATGAAAAATTCAATTCCGAATGGAATCTTGGATTCTTTGATTAGCTTCAACAATTTTTAAGGTTGAACTTGTGATTCTGAACTGAATTCTCACGCGTTTCCAAAAGCATGAATCAGTTTGGAAGAGCGGAAATGCAAATCTTCATCCATTGTGAAGGAGATACTTAAACTTAATCCTCCAAGAAAGCAGCAGATTCTGCTTGCATAAAACTCTAAGGGACAAAGTCGACCACTTGAAAACCCCAAATCATCACCGAGTACCTCTATGTTTCCATTGGAGACTCTCATGTGATCATCAAAATTCGTTTGATGGTATCAAGTTTCAGCCTCCATCATGAAATTGCCACTTTATGATCGTTTCTGAATCAACAATCTTTCTTTATGATGGAGATCTTGTGACTACACCCGAGTACAAAGACATTATTTGATTGAAGTAAGAGACATGACATATAATTATACATGCCTATAGAAAACCATGTGGCTATATGTAGGAAAACATAGTTGTGGATGACATCTTCCTGTCCTCATGACGTTCTTCAATCCAATTGATATTCATGTTGATTATAACAACCAATGTAACCTAGAGAGCAATCAATTTTGTAAACTTGGTTCCAAACATTTTTCAAATGAGAAAAATCTCTTCACGATTGAGCCATAGGATTCTTTGAGTAGTAAAAATCGTCGATATACAGTAGAGTACAGATATCTTAGAAATTTTAGTAAGATTTTGTTGTAGAAATTTTTAATATTCAATCGAGTACAAAATTCTTCTCTAATAAAAATTGTCTCATCGTGAACATCAAATAAATTTAATTTCATTGATCACTGTGGATGGACGTTGAAATTTTGACATCAAAGTGATCCGTTAAATATATAGCAGATCCGCTAAACGTGAAATAAAATTGTATCTATACGATCCGCTAAATACTACTCAACCTCGTGTGAGTGACATCTCCCGACTCTAGAACTAATGTATGTCATTATTGGGAGATTTAACTATGTATCTCGCTTCACATTCTATAAACATCACTCTATGTGTTAGAAAATGTCGTGCGAATACGTATCGCCATACATTCTACATCGCTGACATGCTACTCACATACATACGCACACATACACACATATAAGGCGTGAGAGAGTACACACTCAAAATGTCACAACTGAAATAAACGGAAGATTCCCCACTGAAATTCCTGTCGATCGATTACCCTACTGGCAACAAACCGTCACCGTCACAAACATGAGTCAAGCCCAACCCACTCCACACTCGGAGAATCCAGGTCAACGCAAAGAGGAAAGTCGCTCTATGCTCCCAACGCTTCCAGGCTCGACTCGAAGAACTGACGTTTTTCAAGCCGTCCCCGACTGTATACCCCTCGCAACCCAAACCCTAAGCTCGACACTATTTTTAGCAAAACACCGAAAACTACATGACAGCTGTTGTGCGAATACGTATCGCCATACACTCTACATCGCTGACATGCTACTCACATACATACGCACACATACACACATATAAGGCGCGAGAGAGTACACACTCAAAATGTCACAACTCGCCCCCCTAGCTGGCGGTCAGGTCTCTCTGACTCCCAGGTAGCCTTATCTACAACTACATGCTATACACCTTCGTGGGTGCGCGAATCAGTAGGCCGGGTGCTATGTCGCCCCATCGTTAGTCGCCTATCTGCAATTCATAACATGTGAAGATCAAGTCATCTACCCCACTGAAGTACATCGAGGACAAATCCATCGTCCAGCCGGAATAACATTGATAGGTGGAGTCAGGCACAACATGTGCCATCCCCTAGAACACCTATCACACACCAACATACGGGCCGCCTAACCAACGGACCCACATAGCATGCATCTCAAGCCAGCACGTACTATTGCTAAGCTTGGGTCCATAGTACCATCTAAGTTTGGGAGATGGCATGATGCACAATTGCGCACATAATACTTCCAAACAACGCCGTCAAGACCTTCCAACAAGAGAACTCCAGAAGGTAACACCTCCCGCACTCGCAAGATTGTGCGTCCCGCCGTCACATCCAATGTCATCGGTGCAGTCTGTTGTAGATAGACGTAGTCTCCCACATGGAATCTACGAATCGATG